GCGCTTAAAGCCCCAGGGCATAGGGAAGAGCTGCAGACATACTGGCCCAAGGTGGGATGTCTTCAGGGACACTAGTCTGTCACTTTCTCTGGTGAATCAGTTCCCTACCCAGCCCCCAGACTATCTAGTACAATCTTTCTTAACCTAAGGTCAACTAATTACGGACTTTGATCACAGCTAAAAAAAAAAAAAATGCCTTCACAGCAACACCTAGATTAGTGTTTGATTGAGTAAGTGGGATTGTGACCCTGCCAAGTTGTGACATAAAACTTACCAGGTAGTCTGCCCCTTAGGCTTCTGGACACACATCTTAGTACATGTCTGCTAACAGAGTCACATTTCTGCCTACCGAGGTACAAGATCTTGAATACAACTGAAAAATGCTCTCCCTCGACACACCATCAAAGCCCATCATCTTCCAGGGTGGGGACACGCTACAGGTACTGACACAGATATGTCAGGCCACAGACACATGCAAGACGACAGGTACAGCTGGCCTTGCAGGGTGGTGTCAACCTGACAACATCATACACAAGTGCAGGCAAAACATCCGAGTACCCAGGCACAAGGCTCAACCCCTTAAAGCCACACCCGGGGAGACACGGGGCAGCAGGGTGATGAATGTGCCTCCAACAGCCACAAGGTGGAAGATGGGCACCAGAAAGTTGTCTTCATTCACCAACCACAGCCCCCTGTACTCCGAGAACTGTACCTAGTGACAGTGTAAAAAAGTAACAAGGGGTAAAAGACAAGTTCCCATAAGCAGCAGAGAAGTGAAATCAGAAGTGGGAGAGATTTATAATAACACAATGATATTTGGGAATAAATCTAACATGAGTAATTCAGGTGGCTTAATGGTAAAGCATAAGCCAGCATGTGGGAGGCCCTGCATTCAATTTCTAGCACTACCAAAACATACACACACACAAAGATTTGCATACTGGGCTGGGGAAGATACCTCAGTAGAATAAGTGCTTGCCTGGCAAGTGCAGGGTCCCGAGTTCAATCACCGGTACCGCAAAAAAAAAAAAAAAAAAAGATTTGCATGCTGATAATTGTCTATTGAGCAACGTTAAATTTGAGAACTTTTAAAAAAAAATTGAGAACTTTCATTGGATAGTGGTTTCCTGAGCATTCCTTATGGCCTATAACTAGATGTTACATACCATAGATGTTACACATGTTATTTATTAAACTGATGAAATGATAATTTAAAAATGTGGGGGGCTGGGATGTAACTCAGTGGTGAACTATGCCCTTGGCATGGGTTTGAGTCTCAGCACACAGAGAACAATTAAGATCTGGGTGTAGTGGCCCACCTGGCGTTCTACACCCTGGAAGCAGGATGGCTGGATCCCAAGAGCTTGCGAGCACCCTGAAGGGGAGGAGTAGACAAGTCAGGGAAAGCCATACTGAGATGACAGCAGACTTGAAATACAGTTAAGTCTGGATGTCCAGGGCAAGAGACTCTAGGGAAAGGGAGCTGCAGCGCAAAGGGCCTGAGGCAGGGGTGTGCTGGTCAGCTGCTCCAACCAGAGGCTCAGGCCACCAGAGGGTAAAGGGACAGGACAGGAAGCCCAACAGGTCGCAGAGATTAGAATTTGGCCAGACTGTTCGTTTCAATGGAGATTGTACATGCTGGTACACAAGTACTCCAGGGAAGAGTTACCTATGAGATGCTCTGCTGCCACCCATGCCAGGGACCCCACTCCACGGCTGGTGCCACAAACAAGACTCAGGGAGCAACCAAACCAGGGAATATGCTAACAACAGTCTGACCAGCACTTAGCCCCTATCTCTCACTCCATCGCACTCTGCCCACCAGGGGCTGACTCAGCCCTGCCCTCAGTGCAGGAGCATGGGCTGGGAACAGATAAGCATGGCTCAGACGCTGGGCCCCCTCAGGTGCATATGCATTCACTTGCTCTGCCCACAGAGGCAGACAGTCGAGCGTGACACGGAGCAGGAGCTCTCCAGCCGCGCTCCCGTCACGAGCGCTGTCGACGTCAGGCACCAAAGTTCACTAGTTTCACTGCCTTCTAGCTGGGCCACAGAAGAACCGCATCCAGACACCGCTAACGTTTCTCAGGCACATGCAGTCTCAGAGCCACCCACGACCCAGCCGGAGAGGAAGACCGAGCCACAGCCACAGTCACCTGGGTCCTGACACTAGGCGCCAGGTCCTGTGTGCACCGACCTCAGTCAGGCCCTAGCCACGGTGGGTACTTGTCGGAGTTACACCCCCTGGGTCACTCCAGGTGCTACTGTGGCTTAGGACTACACTTAGGTGTACAGCGGGTATGTCCCAGGACCCATGAATACGCCTTTGAAGCCAGCTGCATCAGTTATGAAGCGGTTAGAGCGCACGTGACAGCCAACACAGGTGGCTTCACACGTTTATTCACACAGCACAGCCCTGTCCAGTGAGTAGCAGGTACACGGCCTTCACACTCCTGTCAAGGCGCAGGTACACGTGTTCCACACTTTTGTCCCCAGCTCCACGCCCAAATGCGGGGCACACAGTACTCACACAAAGTGGCCCACAGTGCCAGGGCAGTCGCGTGTGCTGGGCGCCCGGCTTGACCCTCCGCGACAGCCGCGGTCACCCAGGCGATCACGGCCAGGCGCGCACACGCGGGGCACACGTGCCGCGAGCACACAGCCCGGCTCTCACACCCCCGCGTTTCCCGTCCCCGCTTGTTTTTCTGGAAACTGCTCTCCGTTCTCCTCCCCCCAGGCCGGAAGCGCTGGCGGTATTTTTAGCTCCTCTGGTTTCCGCCCCTTTCCCTCCCCCCTTCCCTACCGGCTCGCAGACCCGACTGGAGCGCGACCCGCTGGGGACCCCCTGCCAGACCCTCCCCACAGTCACTCCAGAGGGGATTCCCAGCTGCCGCGGGAGCCCTGGATTTTCCCGTTGGCTACGTGGAGAGCGGGGAGGAGTCCCGCCGAGAACTTCCTCCTGCGCCAGGGCGCTTGGGGCGCGGGAGGGGGGAACTCTGATCCCGGGTGGAGAAGGGGTGGGGGCCTGAACCCCAGGGTCGAAGGAGACGCCGCGTTCTAGGAGGCGAGGCCGAGCTTTCCTGAGTCGCACTGGTCCAGCTCGGGTGGCGGCGGCAAGAGGGGTTTTTCCTCACGCCAAGTGCCAGCCCCCGCGCCCGCACGCGCCTTCAGCAGTGATCCGGCCCCAGGCGTCGAGCCTCACACGTCCAGATGATTCAGCAGAGGGGATAGGGGAGGGGGCCGGGCTGACTCAGGGATGGGGAAAGGCTTCGTCTCTAGGGAATCGAAACTGGAATTTCCTCCAGGATTGTACCCAACTCCCAGCTGCCCCCCTTTCCCATTTGGTCCGGACAGTGACACAGGGTGTCCGGCGGGAGGCCGATCCCAGGGCCCCTCCCCGCTCTCCCTGCAGTCGTGGAGGCTTTGTTTACGGCAGACAGGAACCCTGGTTACAGGAGAGGAACCCGGGCGTCCGGGCCGAGTCTCCTCGTCACGGCTTCCAGGAAGCCCCCCCTCCCCCGCCCTTTGCCAGTGAGTCACGGGCGAGCGGGAGGCCGCAACCGTGCCAAGGCGCCGCGGCCCGCCCAGCTCACGGGACCGGCCCAGGAAGGCCCCTTGGCCCCAGAATCGGCCACATCAGGGATTCCCCTCACTCCCCGTGCTCTGATGAGGCAGGTCGGCCTTAGAACTGGCAGAATCGCCCCACCACAGCGTACGAATGAACTTCTCATCATTGTAACTGTGTTCCCTGGCAGTGATTTCTAACCCATCCTCTTAGTGATGGCAGCCAGCCCATCAAGACCTTAAAAAACAATTTTACTTCCCAGATACTATGTTTTGTTCGGTATATATCTGAGGCAGAATCGTCTCTCACTATGTGCAGTTTATGCTGGATTTGAACTCACTGTGTAGCTCAGGCTGGCCTCCAACTCTTAGAGACCCTCCTGCCTCAGCCTCCAAAGCCCTGGGATTACAAGCCTGCTCCACGCCTGGCTTCTGTTTGTTTTTGTTTTGAGATAGGGACCCGCTAAACATTTCAGGATCGCCAGGGATATGGCTCAGTGGAATAAGTACGTCCCTGGCAAGTGCAAGGGCCTGAGTTCAATCCCTGGTTCCACCAAAAAAAAAAAAAAAAAAAATCATTATGGGGTCAGGGAGATGGCTCAGTGGAATAAGTGCTTCCCTGGCAAGTGCAAGGGCCTGAGTTCAATCCCTGGTTCCACCAAAAAAAAAAAAAAAAAATCATTATGGGGTCGGGGAGATGGCTCAGTGGAACTCAGTGCAAGGGCCTGAGTTCAATCCCTGGTTCCGCCAAAATAAATAAATAAATAAATAAATAAATATTTCAGGATGGCTTTAACAGTGATTGCTTCAGCCTGTCAAATGCTGTGATGAATGCTGAGATTATAGGTGTACACCACCACACCCACCTTTTTCCAAGATACTAGTTTTCACAAAAAACTGAAAGATTTGCCAGTGTGGGGGAATGACACTCGAAAATTTAGCTTGGGCAACACATACTCCATTGTAAGAAACCATGCAACTGGGGCTGGGAAGAGAGCTCAGTAGAATAAGTGCTTGCCTGGCAAGCACAAGAGCCTGAGTTCAATCCCTGGTTCTACCAAAAAAGAAAAAAAGAAATTATACAACTGTTTAAGATGGTCCAGTTTTACCTCAAAGTAGCTTTGGGGTCCAATTTTACCTCAAAGTAGGTAATGTGCCGGTTAGCTCAGTTGTTTAAGTGCCTGCTCATGCAAATGCAGTCAGGTGCAGGATACTAGGGTTCAAAAAGGGGCCAGAGAGATAGCTCAGTAGAATAAGCACTTCCCTGGCAAGTATAAGGGCCTGAGTTCAATACTTGGTTGGGCCAAGGGAAAAAAAAAAAAAAAGGATACTGAGGTTCAAACCCCACCTCCACCTGCCTTACCAGACCCACCCTTAAGGCAGCTTGAGCTAGCAAAAAAAAAAAAAAAAAAAAAAAAAATCAAAGTAGTTTTTGGTCCAGACAGTCCCTCCAAGAAAAAGAACTCTAGGGGTTCTGGCAGATAGCTCAGTAGAATAAGCACTTGCCAGCAAGGGCCTGAGTTCAATCCCTGGTTCCGGGTGGGGGGGAGGGGGACGGGGAGAGGGAGGGGACAAAAAAACCTCTACTTTTCCTTTCCTGTTTTTTTTTTTTTGTTGTTTTTTTTCTTTTCTTTTCTTCTTTGGTACCAGGAATTAAAACTGAAGACCTTGCATTTACCAGGCAGGTACTTGTACCACTGTATATATCCGGT